AGCCTCAGCAGCCTCAGCTGGGCTGGTACATGGATTGGCATGACCACATGGGTCTGAAAAGCTTGCTTTGCCTGGAGGCACAGGTCTACCGTGCACTCCATCACTGCTGGCGTGGAAAATATAATGAAGGAGGGAAGGAAGGAGCATCAAGTGCAAGAGCTTGTCCCAGCCGACTAACGGCTGTTTTGCTACGAAGCCACGTGATTCCCAACCTCCAGACAAGAAATGCTCCCTTGCCGAAACCTAAACCCAGCAAGAGGCACAGCTGTGATCACTGCTTGGTCAGAAATGACGTTTCCTCCCCAAGATGTTTTGGTCTGAGTGCCTGGCTGTAGGAAGGACTCAGGTGACTCAAGCCAGGCTCTTCTGTAGGCCATGAATAACACCAAGTACCACCACCCCTACACTGCAGCATTGCCCCACACTGGGACAACCCCGAGGTGAAGTGGAGCTGCTCCATGGCTACATTTATCCTCCATCACTGTCTGCTTCAAATCTTTTGGCTTTTACCCAGCTTAATGGGAGCTGGATGGAAGCAGCTTGGACGGAGGCAGCACCAGGCCCCAAAGCCCGAGGCGTTGGGGGGGGCTCTGTGAAAAACCACACACCCCAAAATAGGCACCGAGAGTGTCAACTGTCAACCTTCCTAGTCTAATTTGTGGCTTTCTGTGTCCTGACGATGAATGGGAATTGCTTCCCAAGGGATCTGAAGCGGGAGGAAAGCGGTTACACGCCAGCGGGGCTGGTGGCACCATGGGAAGGATGAGATGGCTGATGGCACCACCAACTGTCAACCTTCCTAGTCTAATTTGTGGCTTTCTGTGTCCTGACGATGAATGGGAATTGCTTCCCAAGGGATCTGAAGCGGGAGGAAAGCGGTTACACGCCAGCGGGGCTGGTGGCACCATGGGAAGGATGAGATGGCTGATGGCACCACGGGAAGGATGAGATGGCCAACGGCACCATGGGAAGGATGAGATGGCCAACGGCACTTTGCGTTATGCCCGGAGCAAGAAAATAAAGAGACAGCAAACAACGACCGAGGAGGCCTAACGGGGATGTGTTTTACTCTTCGACATGCTACCAGCAGTTTTTAATCTCAAAAGAACCAAAATTATATATATATATATAAAAAAAAAAATTAAAAAAAATTATATAAAAAAAAGAAATCATTACAACAATGCTTAAAAGGTACGACACATGAAATACTATACTCAAATCATCGGCGTGTCGTTGGCTAGTTAATACAGTAGGCACAAAACAGACCTAGAATCACCTGCAACGAATGTCCACCAGCATCCTGCTCGCCCCTAAACAAGTACCACCAGCCTGAGATCTCTACTCAGCCGTAGCTGCACCACCTTTGTGCTTAAATTGCTCAGTTTAGGCCTCCTTTCTTTGGCATCGCTCACCCATGCCGTAAAGGAGTGGAGACTTCGCACTGAAGACAGTAACGGAGAGAGGAACAACAACAACAACAACAACCACCCAAAAAAAAAAAAAAAAAAA